AATGTTACAAAAACAATATATTTCAAATAAATGCTGTTCTTTTGAACTTTGTTCATCAAAGATTCCTTAAAATGATTTCTGATGGATTATGTAACACTCAGCTTTGCGTTACAGAAATAAATTACTTTTAAAATATATTCACATAAAATGGTTATTTTAAATTGTAGCCTAATAATATTTAACAATATTACTGTTTTTTTTAACAAATAAACACAGCCTTGGTGAGAATAAAATTGTTTTTTTAAATCACAGACCCCAAACTTTGTTTATATATAATTTAATATATTATAATATAATATAATAATAAATTGAATTATATATGTTTAAATATTTATATGATTTTTATGCACCAGACATAATGAAGTGGTGAAATAGTTACAGTATATACCTGGGAAAATACGTGGACGTCCTACTTCCCTATCGGTGCAGGTGCAGGTGTGGGCCACCCCGCCCCCTGCGCGAGTGACAGCAGCACAGATGCCCTTCACTGACACGAGGATGATCTGCTGCTGATCTGCGCCTGAGACTCCAGCTCTGCCATTCCTCCATCAAAACGTACTTTTTGATTAGTAATATGCATTGCTAAGAACTTCAAACACACTTTAAAGGTGATTTTTTTCAATATGTAGATTTTTTTGCACCCTCAGATTCCAGATTTTCAAATAGTTGTATCTCGGCCAAATATTTCAGAGAAAACGTCTAATCTCAGATCTAAATCTGTTTTGTGGTGTTTAGATGAATGTATAGCACCTGTACCTCGCAAATTATTTCCCAGTTACACTCCACTCTGATTGGACTGCTCGAATTGAAACTCTAGCCTGAGCTGTAATGGCTGCTGAGATTGATGTTTATTTTTCTTAAATGAGGGTGAAGACATACTCCCACAGAAACAAGGGTACTTGTAGATGTGTTCCTGTTTGTCGATTTATTTCTGTTGTTTTAGTTACTTTTATTTTTCAGTGTGAATGCATATCTGCCAATAGATGTTGAATGTTAGTTAAGGACGGCTAACGTTTGATGCAGGATTGCTGATATCTTGATTATTCATGTTGCAAAGACTTTTACAAAGTCCTTTTAAAAATTAGAAGCAAGCGTGTGGCATAGACAAATCCATACTGATAATTTTTAGACCGTTTTAAGTGCGAGTCTATTAACACACTACTGTTCAAATGATTGGGTTGAGTAAGATTTTTTTTTTTTAAGAAGGAAATTAATACTTTTACTCAGCAAGAATGTATTAAATTGATCAAAATTAACAGTAAAGACTTTTTTCTATCTTTTAAACCTAAGAATGTAAAAATGTATCACGTTTCCACAAAAATATTAAGCACCAAAACAGTTTTCAACATTGACCAAATCAGCATATTGATCAGCATAAGGATCATGTGACACTGAAGACTGGAGTAATGGCTGCTGAAAATTCAGCTTTGTCATCACCGGAATAAATTACAGTATAAAATGGAAAACGGTCTTTTTAATTCCTAATAATATTTAACAATATTACTGTTTTTTTTAACAAATAAACACAGCCTTGGTGAGAATAAAATTGTTTTTTTAAATCACAGACCCCAAACTTTGTTTATATATAATTTAATATATTATAATATAATATAATAATAAATTGAATTATATATGTTTAAATATTTATATGATTTTTATGCACCAGACATAATGAAGTGGTGAAATAGTTACAGTATATACCTGGGAAAATACGTGGACGTCCTACTTCCCTATCGGTGCAGGTGCAGGTGTGGGCCACCCCGCCCCCTGCGCGAGTGACAGCAGCACAGATGCCCTTCACTGACACGAGGATGATCTGCTGCTGATCTGCGCCTGAGACTCCAGCTCTGCCATTCCTCCATCAGCACTGATACAACAGCACTTCTGCTGCTGCTGGACATCCAGACTGCAGTTCTGCTCAATAGCTGGAGATTATGTTCAGTGGACTTTTAAAGGAGGAGCCCATTCATGAACTCTCAGACTGTGGTGTGGAGCAGAGGAGAACAAAATACATCTGATCCAAGCTGTTCTAGCGTGCTGAAGATCGTGCTCTTTTAAACGGGACGGGGCTCTGAGAGAGAGAGACCATGGCTGGATGTTGCATGTCTGCGGAGGAGAAGGAACGACAGAGGATAAATCAGGAGATAGACAAACAACTGAGGAAAGACAAGAAAGACTCGCGTAGAGAACTCAAACTACTGCTGCTGGGTAAGACATGTGCTTCATAAACACGTGGAATAAGATGTTAAGATAAAACGTTTTACTAATAGATAGATAGACAAAACTGTACTTGCAGGTAATGTAATATTGCTAAATGAAAGGCCACTTAAGTGTACATAAATTAACTCATTATGTTTTAATCTTTTGTCATGCTTTAAAGAAGTACACATATTTTGATGTGCCAACTAACACGCTAAAGCACATGTAATGTACTTGATTATAATTTTAACTATATATTGAAATGTACTAAATTGTAACTTCAACATTACAAATGTGTAATTACAAATAAATTTAAATACATCACAAGGTTCAATAGAAATCACAATAAAGTATATATTAGTTTACCATAACTGCTTGTTAAACGGTTACACTTTAACGGTATTTCAGCAATAAAAATAATTATGTAATTATATATAAAGATGTACTTATGGCCTACTTAAGTGGGTCAAAAAACAACTAACTGCACTTAATATGAATATAAACTATAATACATTATCATTTCATTGCAAATAGCATACACTTAAGTATCTGAAATCATTTTACATTCAGTTCACACTTAAGTATATTATTTTAAAGTATGTCATTTCCTTAATAAGTAATTATGCTAATATCTATTTTATTTTACAAGGGAATGGATATAATACATCCACTGAAATGACTGAAAAAATGGCTGAAGTTAGAAAAGCTTTAGCCGTATTTGTTGATGAATGGCACATGGTTTGATGTTTTGGGGGGTCTCTACGTGTATGGATTTTTTAGAGAGAAATGAGTGTGGTTTAGCTGCTGTGGCACCGTTTTATGCAGCAGTTCCTGGCCGCACGGACACTGTCTCTGTTCTTACTATGCAAAAGCATGCAAAGCAGAACCTGCAGTGAACTCTAAACAAACTTTCCTCAACAGCACTCCCTCCCTCAACAGCACGCTAACAGCACACGCAGGAGAAAAGGCTTTGTCATATGCGTGCATGCATGTGGTTTGAGTGTCATTTACTTCTAACAGTTTAGTGGTTCATACACACGTGTGCAGAGTGTGTGAACTGAATCAGACTCCCAGTAGATTCATTATTACACGGACCACTTTAAGAGCTCGGCCCCCGAGACAGGCCGAACAGAAAGGTCAATATAAGCATCACGTTTATAATACACCTTTTAACTGTAACTGGTGAGCAATGCCTTGGTTTTCTTTATAAATGTCAAACATGAGAATGTTGTATAACGAGATGTTTTACAGTATGTAAAACTAAATTTGCATTGTGCTTTCGTGTGTGTAATTGGGATATCTTTGTGCTCAAAAAAGGACATAATTTCAGGTGTGACCAGTGCAAAACAATTACAGCCTTTATCGACATATTATATCAAAAATGTTTTTGTTCTTAGTAATATAAAACTCATTCTGTTCATCTGTTTGTGACAAAATACACACTACCTTCTAAAAACTATTGTTTGGAAACCTAAAAAATTAGATTTAGTAGCGTACATTTCTAGTCAAAGGTTTGGAATAATTATGATTTTTTTTTTTTTTTTGGTAAGTCACTTATGCTTACCAAGTCTGAGTTAATTGATGTGATCAAAAATATGTAATTATTACTTAATTAATACTCAATTATTATTAATAATGGCTTCTTACTATTATTATCGATGTTATAATATATAACAATAAGAAATGTTTCTTGAGCAGCAAATCATCATATTAGAATGATTTCTGAATGATCAGACTGGAGTAATGATGCTGAAAATTCAGCTTTGCATCACAGGAATAAATTCAATTTTACAGTATTTTACAATAGAAAACAGTTTTTTTAAATTGTAATAATATTTCACAATATTTCTGTTTTTACTGTATTTTTTTCAAAGAAATGCAGCCTTGCTGAGCATAAGAGACTTCTTTCAAAAACAAAATAATCTATTTATTCTATAATTAAATATATTTTTGTATGTCGCCATAATTATTTTTTATAAATAATTCATTATATTTCCACATGTGAAAGTGACTACAAGTCACTGTGGCTTTTGTTTACTTATTATACAAAAAAAATATATAATAATTTATTTTTATTTTTATTTTTTATCATAATCTGTGATCATCTACATTGTAAACCTCCTAGTTGAATAAACATCATGGTGAAATGCATTTCTGTGACTTTCAATTGAACTTTATTATGAAGCTGATAACGTAAATCTCTTGGTTTCGGATTGAACTCATTCAAATCTGGTCATTTTCATTTGTGTAAAAAATCGCAATGTCGCTAGGATATTCTCAAGATGCTAATGCATGCAAAGTGGAGAATGGTTGAATAGAAAATGGCCCACAGAAGAAATTTTAATTTCAAATTTGAAATCCCAAAAGTTGGACCCACACCTTCTGATGACGAGTTAACTCAGAAAATCTAGTGTCTATAAATATGTTTTACCAGCCAAAATTGTATTATTACATAACAAAATATATTTTAAATGTGATTGACTGCAAAAATGTTAATTAATTAATTAATTAATTAATTAAGGCTTTATTGCTTAATGTCTGATGATAAATTTTAATGTAAAATTCACAAAGTGTCTGAGCTTTTCTTCAGTTGCAGTTTGCGATTCAGATTTACATTTTAATCCATTGGAATTTAAATATAAATGTAATGGCTGAAAAAAATTTCCTCTATACTGCAGCAGTCGGCAAGGACAATTTTACTCGCATTTGACACTTAACGAGTGTTAATTTTGAAACCCTGGCCCTAGCTTTTCTGTTAAATGGCTGATAAAAAAAATCAGTCAACTTTGAATTGAATCAACTTTGAAGAAAAACGTGTTCTGAAGCTGACGACACTGAAGGAAATATGAACTATGAATGAGCCCTATAACGTTTTATGTAATGCGTCTAAGCACTGTCTGACTGATGTACTCACTACACTACAGCAGTACACACTAACAAACAGTGTGTGTTACACATGAGCCATCCAGAAAGTGAACTTCTCTCAGACAGCTGTAAAAGAGGCCAGCGCGTCTGTCGTTCACTTCCAGCTGAAAACATGCCTTATTAATGTACATCGTGCCTCATTGTCTGACTGCAGAGAGCATTATTGTGAAATCTTAGTATGTTCAAGAAACATGTGGCTGTAAGGCATTCTCTCGAGAGTTAAGTCAGTAAATCAACCTCAGAAGTCTCAATTTACCCTAAATCTGACTCGAAATATACATACAAAGACTGCATTCAGTCGAATCATAATGCCCCTGCTCTGAAAAAAATGAAATATGATTTTAAGTGAGTGTCTGGTGAAGTTGTGCATTTGCTTTAACACATGAAGTAGGCTGAATAATGGCTTTAGTGTGGAGACTCTCACTCCACTCAGGGACTGTTTATTGGCCAAGGGTAAGACAGATATTCTGCCACACGGCACTTTAAACAAAACTCACTGAAACACATCCCTCCTCAACCTCTTTCTCCTCTCGGCTCTATCTTTCACCCCTCTGTCTTCTCTGATTTCTGAGTCTCTCTGCTGGATGAAATGACTGCAATTATTGGTATTATTTTTCTCAAGTATACATTTTCATTTCATGTTTGACTCTGCAACTCAGTTATATAGGACTGCTCAAAGCTGGCATGAATGCATTTACACTGCAGTGTGTGTGTGTGTGTGTGTGTGTGTATTAGGGCTGTCAAGCAATTAACATTTGTAATCTAATGAATTATTTCATGATTTGAAGATTAGTTAATCTATTTAATCACAAACGAATCACCCAAAAGATCATTTAAAGTCTTCATCGGGTTAAATGAGATAAGCATTGAGTAGACATTACAAAAAAAAATATGCTTTAATAAATTCTAAGTTGAGTCAAAATATTTTTTATACTCATAATCTTAATTATGGCTACACTGTGGGCATAACATAGCTTTCAGAAGCTGCACCTGAAGTGGCATTTGGGTATAATTGCAAAGACTGTTCAAAGTTGGCATGAATGCATTTACACTATTGCATTTAGATGCATTTACACTGCAATTAGAATTGCATAAATAATGCTATGAGATTAATGGGTTTTAAAAGGGCATTACTAGGTTTTAAAAAAAGAAATTGAATATTGAAAGATTTAAATTATTATTATTGTTTTTTATTGAAGCCCCCCCCCCCTACTTTAGTAGCCCACCTTTATGCAATTAATTTAAATCTAGAGTTTGTAATTTTACCAAACAGAATTGCAGAACACACTTGCATCTTCCATTGGTCAGAAAATCAAATAGCCACGCCCCAAACTCATGCCATTGGTTGAGCCAGTGTTGTTGTGTCTGTGATTTGGATGATCAAGCAAACAGCAATGTTTTGTTAGTGCCTCATAGTACGCTTTTCAGGGAATCAGCCTAAAATAATATGGAATATGAGAAATAAAAAATACATGCATAATACCAGAATGAGAAAATACAGTAGTTCAGAATGGTTTTAGATGGAGTGTAGCATGTCATGCTGCAGGCATGCACATATATTCCTCTCTCCTCGGTATATTCACTGTGACATTCGAGCATTTGAAATGATCCTCAGCCATGTACATCTTACAGCTGTCCTGAGTAAAGACACAGCAGCTGGAGAATATAAACACAACTCTGGCAAGCCGCTCGTTCAGTCTGTCGAACATAATCGTTTCAGTCTTGTCTTGCTACAGTAGCCAAACACTAAACAGATTAACTTTTTGTTCATCTCTGGGGGAAAATATTACAAATGAGAAGCAGCTAGATTCACCCAACCGTTTGAGTTATTTAATCAAAGCCACAAAACCAGAGAACAAGCCATTACAGTTTCTCATGCATTTCAAAGAATGTTTTGAAGCATAAAGGTAGTTTATTTTGGAGTTGGTATGGTATTATCGGTACTGATACCAGTTATCGATTGATGGTAATGATTTCAAAGTGGACAATTTTTTTATATACTGTTCAAAAGTTAGTAGTAAGATTTTGTGATGTTTTTGAAATAAGTCTCTTCTGCTTACCAATGCGCCATTTATTTGATCAAAAATGCTGTAAAACAGTAATATTATGAAATGTTATTACAATTTAAAATATCCGTTTTCTATTTTAATAAAGTTTAAAATGTCATTTCTTCCTGTGAATTTTCAGCATCATTACTCCAGTCTTCAGTGTCACATGATCCTTCAGATATCATTGTAATATGCTGATTTGCTGCTCAAGAAACATTTCTTATTATTATCAATGTTGAAAAGAGTTGTGCTGTAGAAACATTTTTTCACGATTCTTTGATGAATACAAAAGTTCAAAAGAACAGCATTTATTCAAAATAGACATTTTTAACATTATAAATGTCTTTACTGTGACTTTTTAATCAGTTTAATGTGTCCTTTCTGGATAAAAGTATTAATTTCCTTAAAAAAAAAATATTTGAACTGAAAGACAGAACTTGCAGTGGTATATTGATATACAAATGTACATGGCATATTCATAACCCATGGTAATTTGTCCAAAAAACATGGTAATACAACAGTACTTTTTAGTTAGTGCAGAAGCTGAAGGATGTATTTGTCTTTTCTCTCTTGTAGGCACAGGTGAGAGTGGCAAGAGTACGTTCATTAAACAGATGAGGATCATTCATGGCTCGGGTTATACTGATGAAGATAAGAAAGGCTTCATTAAGCTCGTCCACCAGAATGTGATCAGCGCCATGCAGTCCATGGTCAGAGCTATGGACATGCTGAAGATCGCGTATGCTAACTCAGACAACCAGGTACCGCACACACACACACACACACACACACATGCAAGTTTGGAAACCATAGATACACATGCTAAATTTCAGCTTTCTTGACCACACCTTAGCAGTTTTTGCCATGCATTTCTGTTCTGGGGTTACAAAAGTACAAATGTACCTATTATAGCGCCGGCTATTGTTGAAAGGATGGGCGTGTGTGTGCCTAAATAGTGGGTTGAATTTGACACCATCCTACCACGTCTTTTTGGTTTTCAGAAAAGTAAATCAGAAAAATAATGTTCCCATTCTTTGCTGCCAGGAATCCTAAAAATCTGCCAGTGAAACAATATACTTTTGTTTTCAAGATAATATACAACATTCACTATCTGAACTCAAGTCTTATTGTCGAATTCAATTTTGCCTCTTGTTTAAAGGATGCTTGGATGCCTTTACTGGAATTCATTTTGGTCTTTCCATATTTGATAATAAATTGGTTAATAAATGTAGTTTTGTTAAACGTCATAATGGTGTTTTTTTATGTTCACCTGTTTATTTCCTTCCAGAAGGTTTTACGTTCTGTTTATACGCTCTGCTCCACTTTCATTAATTGGCTGTTTTCTGCACTCTGGCTCTTGACCACACACTCTCATTGGTCCCCTGGGGAGATGCTGGTCAATCCTGATTGGCTGTGCTTGTCATTGCAGGCTAATGGTACACTGGTGAATGATATTGAGGTGGATAAGATCATGAGTTTGGACGAGGCCCAAGTCAACGCCATCCGGAGTCTATGGAACGACACTGGGATTCAGGAATGCTACGACCGCCGCAGAGAGTACCAGCTAACCGACTCTGCCAAATAGTCAGTCTTGTCCTTTTCAAACACTTAAAAAGCTATAATCACTGCATTTTTGACATGTGATTTTGGTTTGGTCATATATGTTGCTGGGAACTCTGCAGACCCTTGTTGAAAAAAACGTGGCGTACTTTTTAAAAGAGTACTTATTATGGAAATAATATACTTTCAAATAATATACTTAAGTGTGAATATAATGTTTTCAGATTTTTCAGTTTTGCAAATGGAATTATAGTTTAAATTTATATTAAAAGCAGTTAGTCGAACTTAAGAGTGTTTTGACCCTCTTAAGCAGGACATACACTGAACAAAATTATAAACGCAACACTTTTGTTTTTGCCCCCATTTTTCATGAGCTGAAAAATAAATTGTGCAGTTTTACTGTATTGAGGGGTCCGGGGGCGTCCGAAAACCAGTCAGTATCTGGTGTGACCACCATTTGCCTCACGCAGTGCAACACATCTCCTTCGCATAGAGTTGATCAGGTTGTTGATTGTGGCCTGTGGAATGTTGGTCCAAATGAACATTAAATTGGGCAACAGCTTTGGTGGACATTCCTGCAGTCAGCATGCCAATTGCACGCTCCCTCAAAACTTGCGACATCTGTGGCATTGTGCTGTGTGATAAAACTGCACATTTTAGAGTGGCCTTTTCTTGTGGCCAGCCTAAGGCACACCTGTGCAATAATCATGCTGTCTAATCAGCATCTTGATATGCCACACCTGTGAGGTGGATGGATTATCTCGGCAAAGGAGAAGTGCTCACTAACACAGATTTAGACAGATTTGTGAACAATATTTGAGAGAAATAGCCCTTTTGTGTACATAGAAAAAGTCTTAGATCTTTGAGTTCAGCTCATGAAAAATGGGGGCAAAAACAAAAGTGTTGCGTTTATAATTTTGTTCAGTATAAGTACATCTTTATATGTAATTTGATAATTACTTCTATTGTCTTTGAAATATGGTTAACCGAATGTACTGACAAACATTTATGCTAAACTAAAATATACTTTAATGTCATTTCTATTGAATCTTGTATGTCATGTATTTAAATATATTTTTAATTACACATTTATAATGATGAAGTTGCAATTTAGTGCATTTTTAAAATATATTAACTTTAAATGTCATATGAAATAATACTACGGTTAAAATTATAATCAAGTACATTACATGTGCTTTAGTATGTTAGGCGACACATCAAAATAAGTGTACTTCTTTAAAGCATGACAGGAGATTATTAAAACAATAATTTAAAATGTACTTTAAAGTGAAAATTTTTAATTTGAAATTATTTGAAAAAGTGTACTTAAGTGTGTGAAGAAACATAGTAATGAAAGTGAACTCTCTTTAAGGTACACTTAAGTGGTATTTTATTTCAATCATATTATATTACCTGCAAGTATCTTTTAAAAAAAATATATATACTTTTTGGATTTTAAGTACACAAGTGCACATTGAATGCAATTAAGTGCACTTATTTTTTCACAAGCGGAGGTCCAGTATTAGAAGTGTGTTTTGTCTAATCATATTAATTTCTTTAAATATCCAGCATATCTGTTAATGTGTGGTGTTGCGGTGTAAAACACTCTGTGTGCCACATGTATGTCCTCATAACTGCTGTAAAACCTGTTTCATCAGCTCTGCCCCTGACTTGACCACAGTATTTGTTTTCATCCGTAACAGCTACCTGAGTGATCTGGATCGGATTTCAGACGCTGAGTACGTCCCCACAGAGCAGGACATTCTGAGAGTCAGGGTTCCCACCACAGGTATCATCGAGTATCCCTTCGACCTGGAGAACGTCATCTTCAGGTGAGTCCACACCTGAGTTTCGTCATGCATCAGCACGCACAGGCAAATATACATTGCGCTGAAAGAGTTTTCAGGAGTGACCTTTTTTTTTTTAAAATGCATGTGCCAAATTCTTAGAAATTTACTCTTTGTACTTAAGTTGGTTTCATGATTTTGAGCAAGTTTTAAATAATTTTTAGTATCTAAGTAATGTGGTAAAAAACATTAGGTAAAAAGTAAAATAACTTAGTTCCTTACACATCGTAATCATTATTTTTTGTAAAGTTTGTAAAAAATATATTTAAAGGAAAAATATTTAACATATGAATTATTAATTCATAAATATTGTTAAGTTTTTGGGGAGTCACAATACACTATTTCACACCTTGCCTTGTCCTACAAAGGTCAAATTATTTGATATTTGAACAGACTTATTGACCGTTAGTCAAACTACATGATTTTAATTTGGCGGAAAAGTATTTGAAATATTTTCAAATATTTGTTTCACTGCTTAGGATTTAATAATAAAAGATTATGCTAAACTGCTTTAATAAGGTTTTCTTTTCAAGAATTTCAGTTTTTAAGAGGCTTTTTTTATTATGAAAAAAAAACGAACTTAATTTAAATTCAGAAATTAAAAACTTTCTCAGCATAAAAGATGTGCATTACAGTCACTGTATGTATAAATAGCATTTTTAATTGTATTAATGGTTTCATATTATTTAAAGATACTTTCATGTTTTGTTTTTAAATAAATTACACACATCTCAAACAGTATGTAAGAGCAATATTTCAGATTTTCATTATTTAAATGTATTATTATATTTACCTGTGTTAAGCAGACATTTAATGTCGAATATATGTCTTTTGTTCCTATTTTGCTCCAAAAATAATCGTAATCGAAACTGCAGTTTATCGAAAGGCAATAAAAAAGTTCTTTTAACACAAGTGGATTATACTGCAAGAAGATTGAAAGAAATATTAAACCTTTTGATTTCAATGAATTGTCACTATTAACTAACTATTAACTAGGACTTCATCCTCAAATAAACTCCTAATTTGCTGCTTATTAATAGTAAGGTAGTTGTTAAGTTTAGTTATGGGGTAATTAAGGGATATTTTAGATTAAGGTATCTAAAATATGGTCACACAGAATAAAACATTAAAGGGGTCATATGACGTTGCTAAAAAGAACATTATTTTGTGTATTTGGTGTAATGAAATGTGTTTATGCGGTTTAAGGGTCAAAAAACATTATTTTCCACATACTGTACATTATTGTTTCTCCTCTATGCCCCGCCTTTCTGAAACGCGTCGAT